GAGCATCAATTATTGGTTCTGCGAATCGAACCTGTAACCTATAGGTTATACAAAGACAATTTTACCGTTGATCTAAGGCTTCTTTCTGAATTGCTGTATATAGGCAAAATCAAACATGTATTTACGTCCAAAAAAAAGTCAACGAATTATTGTGAAAAACCAAAATTTTAATCCTGGGATTCACGTTCTTAAAATGGTGGACAAAGTCATGGCTGTTGAAGATCTTCAAATACTGACATGTATGGATAAAATTCAACAAACCGACCTTAACTCAGTTGGTATAGCGGAGGACTGTAGTATTCTTACTGAAATCCTTAGGTAGCTGGTTCGAATCCGGCGCTATTTACCGGTTAATAATTCTACGATATCAACCAATACCTTAATATTTAAATATATTTTACAACGTTTATGGCACAAATATTAAACTCAATATAAATTTTAACTCTAAGATGGTTATAAAGGAAATTCTTTGAGGACCTTTTCTAATTAATACCATATATTTATTGTTCGAAAACTGAAAACGTGTGTCACATTAAATAAAAAAGAAACTGAAGATTAATTAAAGAATTTAATTTTACAAGTAACTGGTTCTTTGGAGAAAACACATGAAACACCTGCTATAAAAACATTCAGAATTATTACTCTTCAATCCCTCTTCATTTATACTAGTATTTTTAATGCATTTGAGACAAGAAGCAAAAATGACTACATCACGAATCATTGTCCTTTTGGCTTTTATGATCTTCACTTTTGCATCACTATGTGAGTATTTAATCTTTTTTGAAAGTTCATTTATTTTGTAAATGAGAAAATATTAAATATAATGTTTTGACGTTTTTTTTTTTTTAAAACAGATGCAGAGGCAGAACAGTGTGAAAACCAGCTTATAGAGCACCCCTGGGGAATTTGTGTGAAGGATGAAGAATGTCATGATCTTTGTGTTAAACTTCAAGTTGGTATAAATATAGTTGCTAAAAGTTATTGTGACCATTCTATAACATCATGTAGGTGTATAGCCTGTCTCCCACCAATTACATTTACACCTGGCGGCGGTATATAGGAGAGATAGAGTGGTCCGCCACCTGATCGCTCGGATAGAATTAGATATATGTATTAGTATTTTCACGCATAAAAGTAGTCAAAATGTAACAGTAGGTGCCAAGGCCCCTATTAACTTCATTAAGTGCAAGTCAATCTCATATTCATCATTTATCTGAATTATAAAATTTGGATTTACTTATGTTTTCTTTTCTTTTAGATCTCAAATTATTAAGTTGAATGTGAGTTTAGTAGTTTTTCATTGTTATTCATCCAATGTTATATTTCCTTGATTTCAAATAACGTTCAAATATTTTGTTTGGTTATTACATATTTATTTATGCACTAAAATCTTGTAAAACGAACATAATTAATTCAAAAGGAGTAAAATCGAATCAAATTAATTCAAAACAGAACGAACCGATCAAATATAAAACCTAATTCAACTTTCTTGACTAGTGATAAGTTTAAAATATGCTGCATAATGCAGAAGTTTTAAACTAATACCTATATTATTACAGTAATTATTAAATAATAGATTAAATAGTGATGAAATTATTTAGTGGATGTACTGTTTAAAAAATATGAAATTAATAGTTTCATGTAATTGATTTCGTTTATTTGTTGAATGGTGATTGTATGATGAGAACCATTTTGCTTACATTAGCAATCCTCTTTTGGGGCTGACTATTTCAAGCTTAAATTGTCCAAATAGGAGAAAAGATTTTGTGGTGTTATTTATGAATTATGCTTTAGTCTCAAATGTTTATCCAAAGACTGAGATAGTTTAGGGAGTAGTGTTTATTTGGTCTTACTTCCTTTTGTTTCTATGTTTTTAGTGTATTTACCCTAAAAATGAGTAACAATTAAATTTGTATGCAGTTTAAAATATATTAACTTCATTAAGTGCAAGTCTCTCTCCGTTTTCACACTAAATTACTTGCATTACCAAGTCTCCAAACCAAGATTGGTTTTAGCTTGGTTCTATTTCCTCTTCTATTCTTGTCATGGTATGTTTAATTCTACTCCTCTAACCTTGTTCTTTACACTCCACACCAAACATACCAAGTCTGAGTTTGTTGCACCGGCCGAACATGTTTAGTCCGGTTTATATTTTTTGTGTGGTTTACGAGCTATTGCATAATGAGCTAGTTACTCTATCCGCACTCGAAATATATATAGTGGTTGCAAGTTTATTCCCCGAAGAATTTTTCAGAAAAAAAAAAAAGCTCATTTGTTTTTTCTTCAATGAAATTACCTAAGTGTATCGGTAAATAGTTTTAATTTCTACTTAATGATGATATTTTTCGTTACTTTTTTCAGTTTTATAGGATCAAACATTTGAGGGACGAGGACAAATGTATTGTTATACATGACTCTTTATGGAGATTCGTATCAAATCACCACTATTATCCTTAGTCCTACTGTGGGCGTCAAATTGTTTACCCCAAAAATGAGTAACAGTTAAATTTATATGCGGTTTAAAGGATACGTAGTTTAATTCAATACAAATAATTAAGAATAAAAATAGATGAATTAAAGACAAAACAAACGATCAAACCAATCGCAATGTAATGACCAAGCTTTATTTTAGATTGAATAGTGGACTTGTCCTCGATTGGACCCTCGGTACGAGCTCAGTTGCGAAGAAAAGAACAAGTGAGTAATGAATTGAACAGTAGCTAGAAGACAAAGGTAAAGTTTTATTGCTTTGAATTGCGTGTGACAATGTGTCAGATCAAAGAAAAACTTCTCATTTATATAGTAGTAGAATTTCAGTCCTCTTACTAGTCTAAAAAATATTTAAAACTTTTTTTCCGGTAATTGTTGATCTATAATTGATACTGAACGGGATTCGCGCCGTAATATCCGGTTGAGAACGAATATTACGGCCCCCTATCCGTCATGCATAACCGTTCACCGAGTCTCCCGAGGTCTAGAAGCTATACTTGATCCGGGGTACGTCGCTTTATCGTATCCGATCCCAGATACATCGTTCATTCTTTCCCGATCTCGATATGAGGGGTTCCTGACCTCGATTATAATCACGTCGATCCATGCTTCCCCTTCATTTTTTCATCGGGGAATCGAGAAAAACTTTGCCCCCGATGTTACGCGTACACAGATAGTTCCCTCGTTTTCCGAAGAGTAAATTTATCGAAGAGACAGAAAGTGATAATTAACCCTGGTTCCTTCTTTCGTACGTTACAACCGAGTTGACGGGTCAGCTCAACATCCTATCAGTCGCTTCGTTCTGACTTCGGATACGTGTCAGCCGCCGGTTGACTGTCCTCAAATGCGAAATGTCGCACATTGATTATTCTTCTTCTATAAAAGCTCCAACCCCTTTTTCACTTTTTTAGTTTCTGATTCCAGAGCTCTTCGATTTACCCTCGAATTCTCTACTTAACTCTACCTCCTTTAAATCTTCATACATTGCTTCCTATATCTTCATCTCTTCATCTTCAAATCTTCGTACTTGTTCTTTAAAGCTTAAATCCAGACCTTCATACCTTCATCCCCATCTTCTAATCTTAATCCTCATCTTCAAACCTTCATATTTTTCTTCAAACCTTCATCTTTTTCAAAATCCGATGGCAAAAACTTTCAAATTCGTGCCTCAGTAAACCGCCCATTCAACTTCCAACCCAGCCATAGATGCCGAGGTGGTCCCAGAGCCGCCCTTGAAGAATTTTGTTCCATGGGGCTGTTCCATTGAAAACGACTACAAAGTCAAGAAGGCCTCCAGCCAACAGGACCGAGGTGAGGGAGTATGGAGGTACATATGCTCCGTTACAAAGGACACATTTCCCACAGTTCGGGTGGACTGCAACTGGGAGGCAAGGAGGTGGTCGTTCCCGGGCCCAACGAAGATATCAACACTCACGTGGAGGGGTATCTAAGTATTTACATTTACCCCTTCACGCTCGCCCCGGTGAACCCTATAATCCTCGGCTTCCACAAAAGGTACGAGGTTTTCCTTGGGCAGATTCACTCGTCCTTTTGGAGGATTATAATCCTTCTCCGCCACTTCGTAAACAACACCGAAGTACCTCGGTTCACCCTCAATCATCTGCTTCGTCTCTACAGTCCCCGAATCTTCCAGGGGGCTGATCAAGAGACACCTTGCTTCGTTTACACTCATCCATTTAAACAAAAAATAGTAGGTGGATGTATAATATATGCATAATATATGTATTATATGTGTATAACTATATATAACCAATGTATAATCTATGTATATGATTAGAAAAAGTAAACAATGAATATTGCCGATTATTTGTCTTATTTAAATATATTTTACAATCTTAGTGCATAAATATTAAACTCAATCAAAATTTTAACTCTAAGATGGTTATAAAGGAAAATCTTTGAGAACCTTTTCTAACTAATACCATATATTTATTGTTTGAAAACTGAAAACGTGTATCACATTAATTAAAAAAGAAACTGAAGATTAATTAAAAGAATTTAATACTTAGAATTTAATTATACAAGTAACTGGTTCTTTGGAGAAAACACATGAAACAACTGCTATAAAAACATTCAGAATTATTACTCTTCAATCCCTCTTCATTTATACTAGTATTTTTAATGCATTTGAGACAAGAAGCAAAAATGACTACATCACGAATCATTGTCCTTTTGGCTTTTATGATCTTCACTTTTGCATCACTATGTGAGTATTTAATCTTTTTTGAAAGTTCATTTATTTTGTAAATGAGAAAATATTAAATATAATGTTTTGACTTTTTTTTTTTTTAAAACAGATGCAGAGGCAGAACAGTGTGAAAACCAGCTTATAGAGCACCCCTGGGGAATTTGTGTGAAGGATGAAGAATGTCATGATCTTTGTGTTAAACTTCAAGTTGGTATAAATATAGTTGCTAAAAGTTATTGTGACCATTCTATAACATCATGTAGGTGTATAGCCTGTCTCCCACCAATTACATTTACACCTGGCGGCGGTATATAGGAGAGATAGAGTGGTCCGCCACCTGATCGCTCGGATAGAATTAGATATATGTATTAGTATTTTCACGCATAAAAGTAGTCAAAATGTAACAGTAGGTGCCAAGGCCCCTATTAACTTCATTAAGTGCAAGTCAATCTCATATTCATCATTTATCTGAATTATAAAATTTGGATTTACATATGTTTTCTTTTCTTTTAGATCTCAAATTATTAAGTTGAATGTGAGTTTAGTAGTTTTTCATTCTTATTCATCCAATGTTATATTTCCTTGATTTCAAATAACGTTCAAATATTTTGTTTGGTTATTACATATTTATTTATGCACTAAAATCTTGTAAAACGAACATAATTAATTCAAAAGGAGTAAAATCGAATCAAATTAATTCAAAACAGAACGAACCGATCAAATATAAAACCTAATTCAACTTTCTTGACTAGTGATAAGTTTAAAATATGACTGCATAATGCAGAAGTTTTAAACTAATACCTATATTATTACAGTAATTATTAAATAATAGATTAAATAGTGATGAAATTATTTAGTGGATGTAACTGTTAAAAAATATGAAATTAATAGTTTCATGTAATTGATTTCGTTTATTTGTTGAATGGTGATTGTATGATGAGAACCATTTTGCTTACATTAGCAATCCTCTTTTGGGGCTGACTATTTCAAGCTTAAATTGTCCAAATAGGAGAAAAGATTTTGTGGTGTTATTTATGAATTATGCTTTAGTCTCAAATGTTTATCCAAAGACTGAGATAGTTTAGGGAGTAGTGTTTATTTGGTCTTACTTCCTTTTGTTTCTATGTTTTTAGTGTATTTACCCCAAAAATGAGTAACAATTAAATTTGTATGCAGTTTAAAATATATTAACTTCATTAAGTGCAAGTCTCTCTCCGTTTTCACACTAAATTACTTGCATTACCAAGTCTCCAAACCAAGATTGGTTTTAGCTTGGTTCTATTTCCTCTTCTATTCTTGTCATGGTATGTTTAATTCTACTCCTCTAACCTTGTTCTTTACACTCCACACCAAACATACCAAGTCTGAGTTTGTTGCACCGGCCGAACATGTTTAGTCCGGTTTATATTTTTTGTGTGGTTTACGAGCTATTGCATAATGAGCTAGTTACTCTATCCGCACTCGAAATATATATAGTGGTTGCAAGTTTATTCCCCGAAGAATTTTTCAGAAAAAAAAAAAAGCTCATTTGTTTTTTCTTCAATGAAATTACCTAAGTGTATCGGTAAATAGTTTTAATTTCTACTTAATGATGATATTTTTCGTTACTTTTTTCAGTTTTATAGGATCAAACATTTGAGGGACGAGGACAAATGTATTGTTATACATGACTCTTTATGGAGATTCGTATCAAATCACCACTATTATCCTTAGTCCTACTGTGGGCGTCAAATTGTTTACCCCAAAAATGAGTAACAGTTAAATTTATATGCGGTTTAAAGGATACGTAGTTTAATTCAATACAAATAATTAAGAATAAAAATAGATGAATTAAAGACAAAACAAACGATCAAACCAATCGCAATGTAATGACCAAGCTTTATTTTAGATTGAATAGTGGACTTGTCCTCGATTGGACCCTCGGTACGAGCTCAGTTGCGAAGAAAAGAACAAGTGAGTAATGAATTGAACAGTAGCTAGAAGACAAAGGTAAAGTTTTATTGCTTTGAATTGCGTGTGACAATGTGTCAGATCAAAGAAAAACTTCTCATTTATATAGTAGTAGAATTTCAGTCCTCTTACTAGTCTAAAAAATATTTAAAACTTTTTTTCCGGTAATTGTTGATCTATAATTGATACTGAACGGGATTCGCGCCGTAATATCCGGTTGAGAACGAATATTACGGCCCCCTATCCGTCATGCATAACCGTTCACCGAGTCTCCCGAGGTCTAGAAGCTATACTTGATCCGGGGTACGTCGCTTTACCGTATCCGATCCCAGATACATCGTTCATTCTTTCCCGATCTCGATATGAGGGGTTCCTGACCTCGATTATAATCACGTCGATCCATGCTTCCCCTTCATTTTTTCATCGGGGAATCGAGAAAAACTTTGCCCCCGATGTTACGCGTACACAGATAGTTCCCTCGTTTTCCGAAGAGTAAATTTATCGAAGAGACAGAAAGTGATAATTAACCCTGGTTCCTTCTTTCGTACGTTACAACCGAGTTGACGGGTCAGCTCAACATCCTATCAGTCGCTTCGTTCTGACTTCGGATACGTGTCAGCCGCCGGTTGACTGTCCTCAAATGCGAAATGTCGAACATTGATTATTCTTCTTCTATAAAAGCTCCAACCCCTTTTTCACTTTTTTAGTTTCTGATTCCAGAGCTCTTCGATTTACCCTCGAATTCTCTACTTAACTCTACCTCCTTTAAATCTTCATACATTGCTTCCTATATCTTCATCTCTTCATCTTCAAATCTTCGTACTTGTTCTTTAAAGCTTAAATCCAGACCTTCATACCTTCATCCCCATCTTCTAATCTTAATCCTCATCTTCAAACCTTCATATTTTTCTTCAAACCTTCATCTTTTTCAAAATCCGATGGCAAAAACTTTCAAATTCGTGCCTCAGTAAA